TACTATCGCCATGGTGGGGGCGAGGGAGTTATCTTGTACTTGTATGTTGATGACATACTGATTTTCGAAACAAATCTGAATGTTATTAAGGAGGTCAAGGATTTCCTATCTAGTTGTTTTGAGATGAAGGATTTAGGAGTGGCTGATGTCATTCTGAACATCAAGTTGTTGAGAGACGATGATGGTGGGATAACATTGCTTCAATCTCACTATGTGAAAAAGATCTTGAGTCGCTTTGGCTATAGTGAATGCAAGCCCTCTCCACCACCATATGATGCGAGTGTGTTACTTCGAAAGAATCGAAGAATTGCTAGAGATCAATTGAAATATTCTTAGATTATTGGCTCGCTTATGTACTTAGCCAGTGCTACAAGACCTGACACCTCTTTTGCTGTTAGCAAACTGAGTCGGTTTGTCTCAAAACCAGGAGATGTGCATTGAAAAGCTCTAGAAAGAGTTTTGTGTTATTTGAAAGGCACTGCTAATTATGGAATTCACTACATCGGGCACCCAAAGGTGCTTGAAGGATATAGTGACTCAAACTAGATCTCAGATGCTGATGAGATAAAGGCCACGAGCGGTTATGTATTCACTCATGGAGGTGGTGCTGTTTCTTGGAAGTCTTGCAAGCAGACCATCTTAACGAGGTCAACAATGGAAGCAGAACTCACAACACTAGATACAGCTACGGTCGAAGCAGATTGGCTTCGCCAGCTTTTGAATGACTTGCCGGTTGTTGAGAAACCTGTACCAGGTATTCTTATGAACTGCGACAATAAAACTGTGATCACGAAAGTGAGCAGCTCAAAGGATAACATGAAGTCATCAAGACACGTTCAGAGAAGGTTAAAGTCTGTCAGAAAAATGAGAAACTCCAGAGTTATTGCATTGGATTATATCCAAACGTCTAAAAATCTGGCAGATCCTTTTACTAAGGGTCTATCACGTAATGTGATAGATAATGCATCGAGGGAGATGGGTATGAGACCCACAATATGAGTTGTTCACAGTGGTAACCTATTCTTTGTGATCAAAGATCCCGTGAATTAGATGTGGAAGACAAGTTGTTGGTCAACTGGGCGGACTGTTAAAATACCACTCCATAAAGATGCAATACTCTCCTAATCTGCATGGTAGGTTGATGTATATCTTAATGTGTTCTAAGTGGCTCTTTGAAGCAGAGATGTTGTCCTGCAGAACATCTTTTGAAGAACACACCTATATGAGTCTGATTGTTAAACGTCGCAATCTATGAGAGTAGGGTTCTCTCTAGTAAACTCATGAAAGTTCTCGTAGTATGATGCATAAGCTCCATCCGCGGGGAAGACCCACGGTAGCCACGTATCGGTCAAGGCTTTATGTGAAGCTAGATTCGCAGAAAACTTGCAGTTCAAGGCCCAGTCCACTGTTCAAGTTGCTTACTAGTGTAGCATAGAGTTCTAGGTGGAAATTCAACTTAACAGTCTCCACTCCAGTACCGGTATATAAAACAATGTTTTGGAACCAAAGGCAAATTTCTGTGTGCCTCTGGGATCTGGTGGGGGATTGCTGGAATTTAGTCTATATTGGGGGCAGCCCAATAACTATTTCAGAAATTTCTAATAAATCCTAGAGGCCCTTAGCCCATTTGTGCAAAGCAAGGGATACTACTAAAGTTTAGTCCCACATTGCTAGTTTAGTGGGAGTTGGACCTCCTTATAAGGGAGATTCTTTCCCCACTTGTATAAGCATGAGAACAAGAGGGACATCCACGCGCGCTCCTCCTCTGCCGCCCGCCTCGCCACGCCACGCGACGCCTCGTCACGACGCGACGCGGGTTGCAGAATGAGCCGATGTCTAAATTTTTGCCATGCACTACGGGTATACGAAAGGTCACTCGGGAGCTGGAATGTTTTTGCTATAGTGGATATTGAATACGAACGCTGCACCCTTCGGCTGCTGTCTGTTCGTTTCATCTCCCGCGTTCCCTTCAGCTCCCGGAGCAGCCTCTCGCCTCCTTCTCTTGCGCCTATAAAAGGGAGGTCGCTCCTCTCAGAGAGACGCACCAGAACCTCTTCCTCCTCTCGCCACAAGTTCCTGAGCACTGCGCCGCTGCTACGATCTTCCCCATCCCGGCTTGCGGCGTGCACCGCAGGTCGGGACAGTAGGCCTCCGAAACCGCACCTTTTGAGTCCTGTACGGGAGAAGGGTGATAAGGTTTTTGGGGAGCGCTCAGCGCGACTACTGGCTGCTTCATCAAAGACGATCCGGTCGCTGACGACTACTTCCCCGACGACGACTTCTTCCCCGACGTCCACGACCTCCTCGATGACATGGCAGGCGAGGACACCGACCCCAAGTCCAGCACTTCTACTGCTGCTGTCCCGTACGTGTTCTTACTCTTTCTTTTAGATGTCATGACACTGTTATTTGCTCTACTTTTCGTCCTACATGTATTAGGTTCTACTTCATATATGCAATTTCATCTAGTGTCTGTTCTAGATGTGTTTAGTTCAAGTTCATATATGCAGATGCTCTTTACCTTCTCTCTGTCTGCACGCATGACTTGTTTTATCTCTACTATATTAGTCATGCTTTATCTAGTATTTCTTTTAATAAAATCATTCGGTAAATTGCTCATATTTCCAACATCAGGCCCCATGGCCAGGTGCCGAGCGTGACGAACAACTCCTCCATCGGGAGCTTCTGCCAGTTCAGCTGCTCCTCTCCCTTGCGAGGCCACACCGGGGGCGGGATGGCTCGGCGTCGTCGTCCAGGTGCGCTGTTTCCCGTGGTTGGCCATGGCGACGAAGGAGGTGGCGGCTGCCGATCGATGAGTTTGGCTTAGCGGGTTACTTCCGGCGGATCTGATATGGAGTATCTTCACACGAAGATGGTAAGAAACAAACATGCGGCAATGCAAAACCGATTCCAAAACCACTCGCTTTTATTTACACACAAGGATAGTTTTTTATTTCCATGTGTGTGTTTGTGCCTCAATATTTTGATTTCTTATTACTCCTTGCAAAGTTGCAAGCGCAGAGTTCAGCCTCTGTTCGGTTGCAAGAATTCGGTTGATCGACAAAATTCAAGTTCAGCCTCCAATCCAATTCAGCTCTGAAATGACAACGTGCTACGATTCTAATTTTCTTTGTTTGTTGCTAGCACAAATGCCCGTGCGTTGCAACGGAAAAAATAATTGACATGTCCATGAAAACATCCATGACCACAACACAACAATGACTAAACGGTGCCATCCGGCAGCGGCAGGGAAGCGCATGCCGAAAGCTAGCAAAAATGCATATAAGTCATACTCCCTCGGTTCCTAAATATAAGTCTTCCTAGAAATTTGAATATGAACTATATACAGATGAATATAGACGTATTTTAGAGTGCAGAATCACTCATTTTGCTGAGTAAACTGAAAAATAATTTATCATTCAAACAGCTTTGCATGAAGCAAAACTATAACGAAAGCACTGAAAAGTATGAAGGGCCATGAATGATGTCCGAACAACGGTTTAGTGCTCCTGAACAAACTGTCCTAAATTCCAAACTTTCAAAAGAAAACCATTAAAGAACTGAAAAACATTGAAGAAGTGATCATGGATGCACAAGTCACATAAAAAATCATAACAGTGACCCTGCTAGCACACTGCACTTGAACAAAGGCATCATTCTTGAACACTATGAATTCCGGTTGGATCAAACTAACAACGCAAAAAATACAAACCATGTAGTCACTACCATAGAAATCCAGACCAAATTGTGAAGCACTAGTACAATGGCAAAAGTCCATGTTGAGAGTTACAACAGAGCATGCTACTTCAAAATTATTCATAATCTGATCGCATAAAATCTAGTACTCATGTTGTAATTGATCGACGAGGTACATCTTTTGTCACCGCTTCAGAAAAAAAAGTACTTGTGTTATACGACAGCGTATCACATAATAGATGAAGCACTGCCGTTGTATTCATGCTCTCCTTTTTCTGAAAAACATATGAATATCTCATATGCAATTGTACTGCAAAAAGAAGTCTAAAGAACCAGATGATTTCATGATTTGTATTGAACTCAGTGTATATTGAGTAATATTGCAATAGAAAGCACAAAAGAGAATCTAATCTAGAGAATATTATAGAAGAAATAATAAATAGTCAGTTCAATTTGCAAGAAATTTAAAATACAAGTCATATTCTATCTAGCTACTGTATAGGGAAGTACTAAAAGCAGCAGCCAGCAGCCAGCAGGAGCCAGGAGGAGTAGCAATCAGCGGCAGCAGCATAGAATCAGCGTCGTGAAGGGATGCCCAGGAAGCCGTATATCATGCACGCGCACGGCGCACACCACACAGACACACGCACGCGAGCCAGGCATGCACGCAGCGGCAGGCAAACGCATGCATGTGGAGCACACACAAACACGCATGCAGAGCACGGGTGAGCCGATGAACCCGGATGTCAGTTCCCTCGGGTGGCGGCCTAGGCGACTCGCTGGAGAGCGGAGGTCGCCGTGCTCTTTCCGGCAGCGGCTGGGTGGGTGTGGTAGACTGTGGAGTGGAGCGGAGCGCAGACAGGGAAAGGGGAAGGGGGAGAGATAACTAGTCTGAGCGTCCTGGTGCGTGGGGCGCCTCCGTCTGTCGGCCAAGTCGTCACCGTACACGTACAGGCCACGCGCCTACATTCGGACCCTCCATTTCCTCGATACACTTTGTTTGTAGCCGTTAGATTAGTAGTTTGATAAAAAGAATTATCTAAGTAGACACATTCCGTAATATACCGGGTTCGCCTCTTGATCGGAAGCCTCACATCGGGCCTGCCTCCGGGCCCGGCTAGCCTGCCAGGGGCCCGCGTGTCTTGATTTTAGCCCAAGCTCGCCCTTTCAATTCTTTGGCTAGCCTTGAGCTTTCGGTGGCCCATACGATGGTCAATCTTGGCAGGAAACACTAACTGTCCAAAATAAATATAAAAACCTACCCTCAAACCTCCTTCCCCCCGAAACCCTCGCCTCCACCAACCATGCCTCCGCCGCCGCCGCCGCCGATACAATCGCTGCCGGACGAACTACTCGAGGAGATCTTCTTTCGCCTCCCGCCGAATGAGCCCGCGTGCCTCGTGCGTGCCTCCGTCGCCAACAAGCGATGGCTCGGTATTCTCTCCTGCCACGCCTTCCGTGGTCGCTATCCTAAGTTCCATGGATCTCCTCCCATGCTGGGGTTCCTTTATTCCTGGCCCCTTGAGTTTCTCCCGAGGAAAGCCCCCTCCCCACGCTTCATCTCCACCATGAAATTCGGTCAAGACATTCCCGACAACCGCGGGGGTAACTATAAATACCCTGTGTGGGACTGCCGCCATGGTCGCGTTCTCCTTCGGCAGAATTGGGCGCCCACGCACCTTGTTGTTTGGGACCCAATGACGGGTCGCCAAAGAAAGCTAAAAGTGCCCACGTCGATGGGCTACGCCGATGGGGCCACTGCACTCTTTTGTGCAGCGAGCGGCTGTGACCATCGCGCGTGTCATGCAGGGCCCTTCCAAGTGGTATTCTTGGGCCTTGACATGACAGATGATGACAATTGTGTTGCACACGCACGTGTGTCCTCGCCGGTGACAGGTGACTGGAGCAAGTCGTGCTCTGATGTTGAGTGGAGCGATATGTGCTCTAGTCTACAACTTGCACCTGATGCACTCATCGACTCAATGCCATCCATCCTTGTTGAAAACGCACTTCACTTCATGCTTACACATGATGAGGATGATAGTGTAGAAATTCTCAAATATGACTTGAGCTCTAATTGCTTATCGTTGATTGATGCACCATTGTCGGGGATTGTAATTAGCAGTTCCACTATCCTCATGGCGATGGAGGATGGAAGTTGGGGTTTGCGCATGTGGACACAGTAAACCTCAACATATGGTCAAGACAACTGGATTCTAATGGATTTGCAACATGGACTATGCCTAGAGTCATCGAACTCATGAACCTTATCCCTATTCAAAATCCAACCAAAAGGCTTAGACTGATTGGATCTGTGGAGGGCAGTGATATCATTTTCATAACTGCGGACCTTGGCATCTATGAGGTTAATATCAGGACACTACAATGGAAGAAGCTATGGAAGAGAGAGAAATTCCGTTATTTGATTCCATACATGAGTTTCTACAATCCACCAGGTACATCTATATGTCATTTCTTTTTTTGATTTGGAACAATGTTTATATAAATACTTATACATTAGTTAATGTATAATTAGATGAGTGATGATCACATAGAAAGTTATATATTTCATATGTGTGCGAACAAACTTCCAGTAATATATGTCATCCGTGCTCGATCAAACTTCAAGTAATATGGATCCTCGAATGTTACACCTAATTATGCTTATGTCTACTTAATTGGAAATTTTATCATAGCATCCTCTTTTTGGAATCACACTGACACAATTATATTTACAGAATGGCTGAGACCTTGTGATGTGGCGCATTGACAATGTTTGATCAAAAAGTCTTAAAGGAAGGGGCCACTCTCGTCAACAAGAAAGATAATCAACTCAGAGGCAACAAGGGTCTTTTGATGAATCATGTCACTAATTAGCACCTGGCCTGGTGTGGTACAATGGTTCTTTGCTTTCTCATACTATTGTTCTTTTGCTAGTAAGCTCGACAATTCCTTGTGTTGTTGGCATGTGCCAGCAGGCGAATGAATTATGTTGTAATGAATCTCAATTTTCTCGCAACATCAACTTTGTGCTTTGTGGTTTAATTTCCTTCAAATTTTATTTGTAACTAGTAGCTTAGTCTTTCCATTTGAACTCTACAACTTGTACCCCTAGTTTTGATCTAGTCTCTAAATTGGTCTCCGAAAAGATGTGGCATTGATGAGAAAATGGTGACGGCATGTACACGGCTAGTGGTTTCTATCGCCCAAGACATGATATGATGATGGTTTTGCATGATGGCTCGTTGACATGTCTTAGTAAATCTTTTGGATATAAGTAAATGTTTCTGCGGTTTTATTTGTTTATCAAGCAATGTTACTGAATAGTATAACATATGAAGTAAAATCTTGAGCCGGAAACTGAAGGTTGATGGGATATGAGCTGCATGCCCGCATGAAGATCTCATAGAACTTTTACTTTGTTCAGTTCCTCCACAAATCTCTTTGGTGTTTGTTCAGTAATTGTGCCAATGCGGACACAATTAATAGGAGATTGTGACGTCCATGAAGTGAGATGGAGATGTGCATATGCTTGGTCACACGGTGGCGGAGCTAGCAGCAGGTTATGCCTGGGGCTATGCTATGTCGAGTGATAAATTTCTGTGATTTTATATTTTCTATGAAGGAATTATAAGGAAAGTTGTTGCTAGGCCTCGGGCTATAGCCATAACTGCCCAGGCCTGTCTCCGGCACAGTGGTCACGTATTTTAAGGCTATAGTGATCATTGCAGTTGTTTTGGTTTTTATCATATTCTAGATTGATTTTATTAAGACATTTTACTCAAAATCACGAACACACATTTCTCTCTCTATGTTTTTTGTACCTATATATGGAAGAGGTGGGGCTCCATTCCAAGTTCCTCGATAGCTGATGATTAACATTGTTCACCGTTCATGGCCAAAATAAATCTTATTAGTGCACATTCTTGGTTGATTATGTTGAAGAACCAGTTGCCACACCAGGTAATTAAGAATGTACTACTGATGTATGGCTACACTATGGTCCTTCGTGTATTGAGGCACTTTTACCACTAGACTCTAATCCTGTCATTATATAT